GGGGGGTGGGGGGGGGGGGGGGGGGGGGGGGGGGGGGCGGCTTGGCCAGGGGCAGCTTGGCCAGGGGCAGCTTGAGGTATGGCCGCAGGTGGCGCACCATGTCACTGGCCGCCTTGATGATGGGCCGTTCTGAAATATGCCAGTCTGAACCCAACACATCATCACACACCACCGAGCAACAATCGACAGACATCATCCCCATCGTGTGCTGACTGTTCGGTGCTGACAGTGCGAATGTCGTCGTGCTCCAGTTTTTTCTTCTTCCACGCCGCCTTGGCATCCTCCAACGTCTGTTGCGCACCAGTCGACCGTTCCATGCAGCCGCATCCCATCTTCCTTTCTGTCTCTCTCTCTCTCTCGCTGACCTTGTGTTCTTTGTGGTTCTGAGGCCCGAACTCCACGCCCTCGTGCTTGTACTTCTCAGCGACGTCCGCCTGTATCTCGGCAGCCAACATGTCACCTGACTCACACACCTACTCGCCAGCACAGCAGAGAACAGCACCACTGATGCAGCTCTTCCCTCCTTTAGATTCTGTATGTGTACCACACCTGCAGCTTCTCCACGTGGGGTTTGGAAAAGGGGAGTCCGACAGGGCAGTCTCTGATGGGCACGAGCTTCAGCCGAAGTGCCTCACACACCAGTATCAGAATCTTCCCGATGTCCGCGCACGAGCACACACGCAGAGAGACAGACACACATACACACAGACAGATGGAGAGGCGTACTTCATTGACGCGATGCACGCACTATCGGGTGCGCACCTCCGTGTATTGGGGGCTCGTAGGATATGTTGATGGGCTTGCCGTCCTTGTCCAGCAGTGGCTCCTCCTCCTTGGCCTCCTCCATGTCTCACCCGTGTGCGCTGCATCCTATGCGAAACAAGACAGCCATGATATAAAATGTAGGCAGCAATCCCTCCTCCTCTCTGCTGTCGGTGGTGATGTTGGCTGCGGCGGCCTCGTCCGAGTCGCTGGCGCCCCCGATGGCATCCTCGAGTGGCGACCCAGCAGACGAAGGCCCACCCGCCTCGATGGCTCCCTCGGACGTCTTGTCCTCCTCCTCCTCCTCCTTCTCCTCCTCCTCCTCCTCCTGCTCCCTCTCGGCCGCCGACGCACTGCTCACGCCGCCTCCCTCCTCACACAGTCTCCTCACCCTCGTGGTGGTCGGCCGGGATGTCCTGGTCGTCGGGTGCGACTGTGCTGAGGGGCTGTGGGGGGCGGGTTGGTGATAACCCAGTCACCGTCTGTGGCCTCCTCGCCGAGCATGCACCACTCTGCCTCCTTTTCGACGCCACTGAAGGGCGCCTGCCGCCACAAAGCCCTCCTCCTTTGCCGTCGCCTTGTCCTGGGCCGTCATATAGGTGTAGAGGGCCACCATCTTGACAGCGCGGTGGTCGCCGCTCCATACGCCCCACTTCAAAACACAGACACATAATGCTCCACTTCTGTAGTTTGTTCGTGTCTTTGTGTCTCACTCCATGTCTCACCCTACCGTTTGCGCTGCATCCTTTGGCAAAAAAGACAGTCATGATATAAAATGTAGGCAGCAATCCCTCAACCTACAAGCCACCATGACAAGATGCGACACACAGCCACATGGTCGGCGACCTCTTGCTTTTCTTCTCGAGCTTCTCTTCTTACCTCTTCTCCATCCACCGCTGCAGCATCCACACGTCCACTCGCACGACAAGTCGCAGAGTCCACCATCCGAGGCGAATTCCTGCGTACGAAAGACACAGCCCTTTCTTTCGTTCACACAATCCGACTCCGCTGACTCGACATGAACGTGAACACATGCGGAGTCGACTTACAGCCAGACAGAAGTCGGTGGTATGACCCAGTCACCGTCAGTGGCCTCCTCACCAACCAGTGGAGCCCCTTCCTGCTTGGCTGCCCTTCCTGGCTGGCGCTGGGGACTTGTGCGATGGCTATGCCGGGTGTGTTGGTGACGGGGGCACATGCAGTCTTGGTCGTCGCTGCATCAATGGCGGATCCACCTTGATGGCATGGGTTCTGAGAGAGCATCTGGAAGTATTCGGGCCGGGTGACCGCTGTCATAGGATGGCGAGGGCGAGAGGGGGTCTGGATGGCGCCGGCGGAACACGCACTGCTGGTCGTCGCTGCACCACCGGCCGACGACTGATCGGCAGCAGCCGCCCGTGCAGTGGCGTCTTGGGCAGGGGCTGCGATGCTGGTGTGCTGAGGGGCCGTGTGGGGCAGGTCGGCGGTGACCCAGTCACCGTCAGTGGCCTCCTCGCCAACTAGTGGAGCCCGCTTCCTGCTCGGCTGCCCTTCCTGGCTGGTGATGGGGACTCGTGCGATGGCTATGCCGGGTGTGTTGGTGACGAGGGGACACGCACTGCTGGCAGCAGCTG